ATTGAATCAATACTTGGACTGGATTAATACAACTGTTCTCCTGTAATTACATTTTAGTCTCACGAACCCCAAAATAATCCAAGGTATTTGTTTCTTTGTCGTCACATCACAGAATACTCTTTATGGCCAGTTTATACACTTTGAATTGCTTTTTAACGCTTAACGCATTCAAATAAATGAACACTCGTACACGCTCCATACGAAGTATTGCGACTAAAGATCAAGTGATTCTACCCTTTAACTCATACGTATGTGTTGGTTGTAGGACTATGGACTCTAACGAACAAGGGCAATGTAAGCAAAGAACTTTAGTGAATAATTCATTAGAACTCACAACAGTTTGTCTATTATTTTAGCTGTGTGACGATATGTGATTTGTTCCATCTATTCTGTAATTTATACAAAATGAGGACTATTTCTCAACATCAGTTAATTGAGGTGTAGTAATTAAATAAGCTACACTGACATATTTACTTACTTACTTACTTACGCCTGTTACTCCTCGTGAAGAAGCATAGGCCGCTCACCAACATTCTTCATAGAACCCTGTCCTGAGCAATCCTTTCCAGCTCTTTCCAGTTGTTATTCATCCTTTTCATATCTGCTTTTATTTCCCGATGTAATGTATTGTTTGGCCTTCCTCTTTTGTGCTTCCCTTCAGGATTCCAAGTTAGTGCTTGTCTTGTGATACAGTTTGATGATTTCCGAAATGTATGTCCTATCCATTTACATCATTTCCTAATTTCCTGTTCAGCTGGAATCTGGTTTGTTCTCTCTCACAGTAGGCTGTTACTGATGGTATCCGGCCAATAGATGTTGAGTATCTTGCGTAGACAGCTACTGATAAATACTTGTACCTTCTTGATGATGGTTGTAGTAGTTCTTCACGTTTCAGCTCTGTACAGCAGGACTATCTTGACGTTTGTATTGAAGATTCTCATTTTGATATTTGTTGACAGTTGTTTTGAGTTCCATATGTTCTTCAATTGTAGGAATGCTATCCTTGCTTTGTCATACATACACTGACACATACACATATTCTATTTAATCTTCTAATGATTTATATCACTTAATAGACTTAAAATCATTTGTAGTTTTCATAATTGTTCTTTTCGATAAGCTTTTCTTATATTCAGTACTACTTATGCATGGATGCAATTTCTATTTCATTGATTCATATTGAAATTTATCTGTCTTCTTCATGTTATATACCCTCCTCTTCCTCCTCCTCCTTCTCCTCCTCCTCCTCCTTCCAACTCCCAGTGTATTTTGTTTGTCTTTATTTATACTTCAATTTATATATTACTGTATCACTGTACATGTCGGTACACACGTACAGAGAGAGAGAGAGAGAGAGAGAGAGAGAAAGAGAATGAAGGAGGTAAGAGAATATAGTTTGCCTAAATATGAGCAATTTTAAATCTTTTCTTTAATTCTACTCAACATATACTTATAATACATATTTGTATATATAACCACATATATACTTATGTTCCATTCACTATGTTACAATACTATTCTCGTGATAAAAAGATAGACACATCTTTGAATTATAATCGAAGCTACTACATAAGTTTCTTTTTTTTTCTTTCTTAGTTACTACCCTATAAAAAACAAACAAACAAAACAAAACAAAAAGTTGCTATTCAAACAATTTTTCTATCAATTTAATGAATCTTATAGTAACTACGCAAGTTTTCGTGTGTGTGTGTGTGTGTGTATGTATGTATGTGTATGTACTTCCGTTTTTACAGTTTTCATATTGATTCTTTCTATGTTAAGTGTTTTACCTACTTCTGAAAAAAATGACATTACCAGTTAGGGGGATAAATAATGAAATGAGAGTTTTGAATGACTGTTTGTATATCCGTGATTTTACACTATGCTTTATTGTTATTGTAGTTGTTGTTGTTGCTGGTTATTTTAGAACATAACCCTTCTCTTGTTTTCTTATAACAAGTTTGTGTAGATGATTGAATTTCATAATTTTACGTTATAATCTGATCTCAGTTCAACAATCTTTGAAAACAAAGAATCGGTCGTATACTTTCACTAGGCATCATGATCAATGAGATTTAAACCATTTCAGGTACGAGTCAATCACCGTCAGTGGTTGTATCAGAAGATGGTGGAATATTATTACGAATTAAATGAAGTTAGACATGTAAGGGATCAGATGGTGGTTGTAGGTAGTCGACAGGAAACCCTGGACCCGGGTTTCGTGCTACTTGGAACTCGTTAGCAAGGTCGTCAGTAATCTTTGAGGGAACTGGTGCTCCCTGGCGGATTCGATCCCGTGTCACTCAGCTGGGTGATAGAATTCTATCTGCACTAATAATAAGGACTAGACACGCATAACATTGGTCACCACCCAGTGATCACATCTCATTCCTACAGGGGGTCGGTCGCGGCCGGATAGCTCAGTGGTAACGTCTCTGACTGTGAAGCTGGGTGACACGGAATCGAATCCGCCAGGGAGCACCAGTTCCCTCAATGATTACAGGTACACCTTGCTGACGAGTGCCAAGTAGCACAAAACCCTGGTCCAGTGTTTCCTGTCGACTACCTCCAACCACCATCTAATCTCACAATAGTGCCCACAGTGTCCAGTCACCTAGACTGGTTGCCTCATTGCAACATGGTGGATAGAATTCGATCTGCACTAATAATAAGGACCATACACGCATGACATTGTTCACCACCCAGTGATCAATCAATTGTGATGTAAGGAATCGTATATCGACTCAATGATTAAAAGGTTAAGCTCTCGTTGAGAGACTGACGGAGGGGGGATTGTCGATGCCTACTGCTGAGACGAAACGGTCGACTATTGCTTCTAACTTCGGCTGATTCATGATATCAACAACATAAAGTAATTTACACAGACCTGTATACTGATCTTCATTATTGTTGAATTTTTGACTCAGAAATATTGAAGTATTGACCTTCATTTACTGTGTGAAACCGACTGAGATGTTTGGGCCACGTGTTACGTATGCCTGAACACCGATTACCACAACGCTCAATGCTAACCGGTGTTGGGGATGGTTGGAAGAAAGTTAGGGGCGGCCAAACCAAAACGTGGCATCAGTGTTTGAAGTCACTAACTTCTGGTCTGAGCCATGTTGGTAGATGCAGACCACTTGGTTGGGGTCGGCGTGACTGTCGTAACCAATGGTTGGAGACTCTTGGTGACATGGCTCAGAATCGATCACAATGGCGTCGGTGTATGAGACTAAAATTATTTCATATCTTTCTTTCAACGAACTAACTTTCTTCCTGTACTATGTCCTTATCCTATACTTTCCTTTATATATTACATCATTGAGTTGATTGCTTCTATGAATCCGGTGTTCATCTTGCAGCGTTAATGCGGTATGGCAACTTGGACCGATGCATATATGTGCATGGTCTTACGTCGTAGCTGACTGACTGACTGTATGAAACACGAATGCTTGGGCTTCACACACATATTTAAAAAAATCAGAGTTGTAGCAAATTTAGAACTCTAATCAAGCCACTATCCAGCTCATGAGCTGTCTATTAGTTGTCCGTTCATAACGTGAATTAATTTAGAATCAAACCCCTCTAAGCACGTCTGATAAGTCATAGAATTTGTTTTGCACAACAAATCAATAAGCATAGTGATGAAAGGCATTCTGGGCCATCTTCGGTCCTTTGGTTATGCTAATCTGGTTGTAGTTAACGGTCAGATTTACAACGCATCAGTGAAATCAATTTGCTTTAAGAAACCTCCTGGTCTCTCTGAATTAAAGATGCTCTGTAGCTCGATTGATAGCTGAACAAACAAAGAGGTGGTCAGTTTATGACATGATATGAAAGGAAGCTATTTGGGAATTGTCATCTATCATTTGATTATACAACCACTTGAAGCACCGCTTGCTTATGTTTGGAACACCGAGTGAGCAATGCTAAGGTGAGTGAGACTCAGGGTTCTAAGTAAGAATCGCGAATCTCTATCGATCGTGGTGGTTTAGACATATATTACCTGTGCCCTACCACCATCTACCTTGACTTACTATGATGGTCTATGTGGAAAGAGGTTAGAAAAAAGGTAAGGGCAGCCAAATCAAGACGTGGCATCGGTCTATGAAGTCATTAATTATTACTCTGGTTCATGTTGGTTGTTGGGTAGGGACTACTTAGTCGGAATTCGCGTAAATACCGTGAATAAAAGTTAGACATTGCGTGACATAGAATGGGGGTGTATTCACTCCTTGTCTTCTTTTATAATCTAAGTCCCAAAATCTCGTTATTCCTTTTACCATACTTAATTTCTTCTACCACTACTGATACTGTTACTACTTGTACTACTCTAATACTTGTCTTTCTTTTTCTGTTGTTGTCGTATGACCGATATGTTGTTTATTGACGAACTGATTATTTTCCCTCCTGACTAATTGTACAACAACTCCTTGGTTTACTTTCATTTAAAATCTAAACTGCCCCCAAATGCCCTGGTACGACCGTGAATGGAGAGAGTCCGTTCTCCCTCTCCAAATGCTTTCACATGGCCACGTGTATATATCCTCTGCCAGGGAAGTCCTACTCACTGCCTTCACGTGGTATTACTGTTGTTTACGAAAATGAGAGGACGAGAAGCGAATGTCCGGCGCTTTAACTGTATCCCAAATCAATGGTGCACATGGGCTGGCTCCAGCTCCCCTGCCTTGTGGGTCAGATCTTTAGGTCGAAGACTCGAGGCGCGGCTCGATAAGAAAACCACCTGGTTCGATTTTGGCACCCGGGTAGTATCACAGCCCTCACATATATCCAATGAGATCTGTGTGGTGCATATGTATTTGGTGCCTCCTTGTACCGATATCTATGTGTTAAAATAAATAAAATAAACAAATGAAATCTAACCTAATAAAGTGGGAGCTCAATTTCTTTTTGCTAAATTATAAAGTAGTTGTTTTACACACATTTCTAACAAATTTCCTGTATTCTTCTTCTTATTACTATTATTATCTTAATAGAAAAGAAGAAGCAATGTCAAAACCACATAAAGTATACGAAGTAAAACGTGTAAATGTCACATTAAATCATGATATATCAGGGAGTAAGAGTCCATTAAATAGTACTTTAAATACTCCAACTAAAAATGGTCCAAGTCTTCATACAACAAAGAATACACCTAGTAAGTTTGTTCTTTTTTTTCTTTCTATTTTTTCAAAATTTTATTTAATCTATATCTCATAATTTGTTGCTAACTACTTTTAAAAAAATGTACAACAATTTATCGGAAGGGGGGGGGTGGAGGTTGTATAGATTTTAGTAATTTAATCGTTGAATTTATAAGTCAATTAAAGTTAGATCACCATAGAAAACTTGGAATCATCAGACGGCTGTTTCGTCCTAGTATGTATATCTATGAGATTTGTACTCAACGGTGTTGTCTTGAGTGAGTTACTATCTCACAACAGACCTGGTTTAAGTTTATTGGTTACGGCTTCTCACTAGAACTCCAAGAAACACCTCTTGAAGCCAGTCACTAGTGAGCGGATGATGATTATTATGAGAAGGGAGTTGGGTGCCTAGAGGAAGTAAAGTATTAGCGCGGGAAACCGATAAGTACTAGATTCGAATCTTACGGGATGGGATCGTGGATGCATACTGCCGAGGAGTCCCATAATAGGATAAGACGACTGTTCAGTGCTTTCAGGTTTTCTATAATGGTCTCGCTTTAACTAACTCATGAATTCAACTATGAATTTCGAATAAACCATTGAATATCTGAACTCAGTAGCTTAGTATATAACTCATTAGTGTATTTGAAACGTGCTACGAACAACAGTACTAACATAGATCATTGTATCAGTCAGTCAGTCAGTCAGTGAGAAACAACGTGGAACTTCATACGTACGTACATCAATTCGAGTTGTCATATCACATTGTATATCATCCATTTAACGAGTGTTAAATATAACACTACTCTATACTTTGAATTACACTACTGATATGATCTCTAATCTACATTACTTATTTATTTAGATATTCTATTCAACTCTATCTCTTCGACTTGTTATTAGGTAATCTTTATAAAAATCAATCATAACATTTATTGATTTCGTTTTCTATCCTATATTACTTAATATACATCTATAACTAGATACATACATACATAAATGAGATGGAATGAATAGGAGAGAATAAAAGTATCTCCTCTCTGTGTGTGTCACTCTTTCTCTATCCCTCTTACTGCCTTTACTTTCAATATTATCATTTTATGTATAATATGTTTCTGTCACCAACTAGAATCTAATTGGTTAAGTTGAATTTGTTCCGTTTTTTTATTTTTTTATTTGAGCATTAGATAGGATTGTTTGTCTTCTCAATATATTGATCATAGTTTTATTCTGATATTTATATATATATTGGTTATTGAATGAATGAGTAGTTTGATTTAAAGTTTTATGTATATGTCTATATTGATATGTATTACAGATGAAGTTTGTTTCAATTATTCTTTTAGATAAATGAATGATATTAATATTAGAAAAGTGAACTAAATTTGTTAGTTTCTTAATTCAATCTGATTTGAAAAATAAATCGGTTTTACATTTGAATAACAATTTAAACATTGTTTGTTAATCCATCTATTGTTAACCATGAAAAACTTGAAAGCATTGAATAGTTGTTTGGTTTTATTGCGGGATTCCTCGGCAATGCACATCCACGACCTCCCTTCCCTATGGTACTCGAACTCAGAACCTATCAGTCTCATACGCGAACGCTTAAAGTCTAAACCACTGAGCTGGTTAATATCTAACTTCAACTAATCCACGAAATTGAACGACACATCCACTATTGTTATCACCGAGTTACTATCTCACAACAGACTCGGTTAAACTCTACTGATCACGACTTCTCACTACAACTCCAAGAAATACCTCTTGAAACCAGTTCACTAATGAGCATATGATGATTAGTATTAGAAGGGGGGTTTTGTGGAGATTTTTATTATGTATGTATATTTGAAGTGAACTAGATAAGTTGACTTAAACAATAGCTGTTGTGTAGCGCATTCAAAACATGGAAGAAATATCAATCTATCGTCTCAAACTTCACTATTCCTTTTGATAATATCAGTCCATTATCTCAGATTTCATTGTTCATGCCTTTTCATACCAATTGCGTTCTTTTCTTATCGATCTTCTACTGAAATACATTCTATGCCTGATCACAGTTATATACTACTTATATGGATATAAGTAACCCATACTACAATATAGCAATGAATGGATTAAAAATAAGTTAAAAAGGAATGTAAATAAGTGCTTGAAAATCATTAAATCATCATTCAATATTTAGTCATAATTATGGATATCATTCATTTACTATTCTTAACTAAGTTATCCATCATCTTATGATCAATGTTCAATTAATCTATGCACTATCAATTGATGAACAAAACAAACCTTCTTACTATAGTAACGAACTAATCAAACTCATGATAACTTATTTTTGATTTTGTTTAAACATCATTCAAAGGCTTAATATCAACCAGCATTCAACTTTAATGAATGAGTTTTGTATATGTTATAACTTGTGGCCTGAGTGCCCTGTTAATGTATAATGTGATAATACCGCCAATTAGAGAACAGTGAATTATCGACTGGACCAACCCGTGCGAGCAGTCTAGAGTACTTATCGGTCCTACTTTCTGCCTAATAAGGAGTATAGAAGTAAAATAAAACAACGAATTTTAGTGTTCCCTAAGATTTACCATGATGAAGACTTAATGAGAAACGTAAATTGAGGCTTGATTTTGTAATTTGCATAACATAACGGCTAGAAAACTAGGAAAATCGATATTTCATGTTTGTATGGGATTCTTCATGAGTATACATCTACCACTGTCCCCGGCATCGAACCCAGAAGACTCTACACCTCATAATTAGCGTTTAGATCAATAAGTTATCATCCATCAGTTTAGATTTTTGCTACAGTAAATTCACGATATTATCATCTTATTATCCATTGTCTCATCTCTGGCGTAGTGAACTTTTACTGGTTAAGATTTTTTAACGAAATTCCAAGAAATACTTCTCAGTTAGTCATTAATGGACGCTTGATTATTATTAGCATAGAGATTTTTGTGAAAATTGTCGTATTTCATAGTTTAGATCATGGAGTGATTCTAACTAGACATTACTTGAAAACTTGGAATCGTTGGATAGCATAGTTCAATTAAAATATTGAATTTACCCTCTCGTTGAACCGACGGTTTTATGCGAGGACTTTGATACTATCTGATTACTCAAAACCAATACAATTAAGATGGGTTTTGAAACTACATCATTTTTGATCGCAGGTTGATTGATTCACTTTGTAACCATCACTCCACTAATATCATATAAGTATTTATTATTATTTCATTTTAACACATATATATTAGTACAAGGGGGGGGCACCGAATAGATATGTTCTGTGATACTGTCCAGGTGTTTCTCTTAGGAGGCCACACCTCGAGCCTTCAACCTAAAGATCTGATCCACAATGCAGTAGAGCATTGTAAGGAGATGCAATCGCATGGTAGCCGATGACCAACAATTGGTTCATACGCCATTTGTTCCTTCAGGATACTAGAGCCAGCCCATCTGTGCACCATTGGTTATAAATATTAAAGTTTTATGTATTACTGTTCATTTCATATTTAATATTAACTAAATAATCGTTCAACTATTTATCACTTTTATAGTTTTAGGACCATCTTGTAAAGCATTATTTGATTTTGAAGCAGAAAATGAATCAGAATTATCATTCTCTGAAGGTGATATTATTAGTTTAATATTACGAGTTGATGAAAATTGGTTTGAAGGTGAATTAAATGGTCGTAAAGGTTATTTTCCAGTGAATTATGTTGAAGTAATTAATCCTCTTCCATCATAGAAATCCAATTAATCCATCCATCCATCAATCAATCAATTTTTTTCTCATCGTTGTGTGTATCTGTATGTGTGTGTGTGTGTGTGTTAGTATCTTATAATCAAACATGTCAATTTATCATGACATAAACATTATGACAATTTCCTCATATTCAACAAATTGTATACAGTAAGAGTACAACTACAAAGATAACTATCATTATTCGACCAATTATACTTATTATATATATATATATACCTAGATAGATAGATCAGAAGTATTCTTCAACTAACCCTAATGAAGTAAATCACTTGAAGATCAACAACACCATCATTCATTATATATTGTATTGTTTATTATCTCTAATTTGTTTATTATTTAACTCAATCATAGATATACAAATAATATACTGCAATAAAATTAAAATAAAAAAGAAAAGCCGGTAAATTATCATTTATTATTTGTTGTGTTTTATTCTTGCTTTATTCTTCTATTTACTTTATATTTTCTCTTTTCAATTTTCTTTTATATATATATATATATATTACCATTTATTAAAACAATGGAAATTGTATATTTAATAAACAGGATATTACTATTATGATTATAAGTAGTACTACTAGTAGTATTGTCAAATATTAACTTTCATAGGTCTCTCCATCTACTATCTATCTATCTATTTATTTATCTATCTAATAGATGATAACCAAACAAACACCTATTCTATGCTTATAGTTTATTCTTATGATAAATGATATTACCATATTTCACATTTCTTTTGTTTTGTTTTTTGTCTTGACAACTTACTTCAATGTTTCATTTTAAGATGAATTAACCTTTCCTCTCTCTCCCCCTCCCCAGAAGTTGTATCCAACCCATCTCTATGAATATATCAATGATTATTGATCAATGTATTATTATTATTATTGTTATATTTTCAAAGAGTATTCTCTATATTAAAGATCATAATTACAAAATAAAAAAAGAAAACCCAATTCTCAAATATGGATCCACATTTATACATATATATATATATTTGTTTATTTTGATATCTATCTATGTTTGTTTGTTTGTATGTGCGTGTGTGTGTGTGCGCGCGCGTATGAATATTACTCTTTTTCTCGTCACATTCCATTTGGTTTTCTTTCCCTTTCTCCCTCCCTCTCTCTCTCTCACAACCACACACACACACACACTATCACTTCTTGATCTTGTTTTCTTGTTTCCTAATTAATTTTAATTTAATGATCAAATGTAATAAAGAATAATAATAATAATAATAATATGATTATACATTATTCTTGTTCATTTCATTCAATAATCAATACTCATTTACCTAATTTTACTCCTGTTGGTAATAATGGTGATAATAACAATGGTAAGTATAATCATGTTTGATGGGTATTAATGATGTAACTATTGTTATTATTATTTATTAAAATTATTTCCAATTCTATAGTCCGTTCTTCTTGAATAATACAAGGTAGACATGGTGGGGTTGATAATCAGAGTATATGAACCTTTGAAAATTCGATGTCTTGTATGAATTTGATCATCAGTGAACTATGATATAACTGAGAGTGAGGAAAGTCAGCTCTCTCACTCTCTCTCTGTCGAAATGCTTTCATATGACCACGCGTTTGTAGCCTCTGCCCCATGGAAGTCTTATTCATTGACTTCTTGTGACGTGGGTGTTGTTTACGAAATTGAGAGGAAGAAAAGCGAATGTCCGACATTTTAACTGGTTTGGCAGATACGGTGTCCACTTTAAGGGAGATACGAAACCCTGATTTCAAACCAATGGTGTATATGGGCTCCAGGATCTTGAGGAAATAACTGGCGTATAAACGTATTGTTGGTCACCGGCTACCATTGCACTGCTCCACTACCTTGTGGATTAGACCTTTAGGTCAAAGGCTCCGGGTGTGTCCCACTAAGAAAACCACTCGCTTCGGTTTGGGTACCCGGGCGATATCCCAGCCCTCATACAAATCGAATGATTTGTATGTGCCGCATATTTATTTAGTGCCTTCTCGTACCAATCTTTATGTGTTTAAACAAATCAATAACTACAGGCGGTCATGGAGGGAGATATTTCAAAAGGTCATTTTACAGTTCTAATGAGAATCTGAGACCAGTAGAGTTCAGGCACGTTTGAATGTTAGGTAGTTTGTCTCCAAGTACATTGGAATGTAGTTTTCTCGATTTTACGAATTGATGGAAGTTAAACACATAGACTATTGGGTATCGACTCAGTAGTCTAAAGACTATGCTTTCGTACGCGAGACTAATAGTCGTGGGTTCCACTCATAGTGGCAAGGTCGTTGATGCGTACAGCTGAACATTCCTATTGTTTTCTGGTTGCTTATCTAAGATCGTTCCGTGACGTTAAACATGATATGAATCCTTATTGATGTACATATCGGTTGACTGGAAACCATATTTATTATTATTGCTTGTCAAAACATTTGAAACACAATGTTTTGTATGAAGTAAGTGATAACAACCGCCATACGTAGTAGTACACTAATAATCGAAATGCTTCCCGATTATATTTTGATCAGAGGACAAATTAATCTTTTGCCCCTGTCAGTTATCACGTGAAAAATTGTCAATCAAAATACCGACTTGCATGACCTTATTCCTGTGCTAAACCAATGACAAGTCAACCGACACTACCAGCCTTGCGTCAACTCTGAATTCTTATAGGTCCTTAAAATAGTAACTTCTCGCCTAGCTGTGCCCATTCAGTCCAGAACATCGTCTCAGTTTCTATTGTATGGACAATATATTTCAAACATGCATAGTTTATATACAAGCAAACTAGATCGCAACACCCAATAAAATAAAAGATATTAATTATACAACATCAAGCCAAAAGTGACTGAGTGTGAGCGACTGTAAGTAGTAGGTTGGGAATAAGTAAGTCATATATATATATATATATATATATATATATATATATATATATATATATAACAGTCTACTAGTTACCGGAAGTTACCCATAAATTAATCTTCGAATAAAACAAAATGGTAAACTTTTTGTTATAAATGCATATTTAACAGGAAACATAGTGACAGAATTTTTCATAGGAGTCTATAACTGGTTTCTAGAACCCAAGTTGTGATTAAACGACAGAATCCCAGTCTTATACAGCTATCTTTTGTACCGTGGCGCTATCGTAAACTGACTATCTATCTAATTTTCCCAACTAATTTTAGCGTCGACAAATAATGCATGATGTGAAATTCTTATGGGACAAAATTTGCTGTGTATGTCAAATTAGCAAGCTAGTGTCTTGAGTTATTGAACTATTGTCATTGAGCCGAAACACGCTTCTGGTTTTCAGCATTAACTAAGCAGCGTTGCCACCGGATATAATAAAGTACGAGCCTGTTTCTAGCGAGCTAGTATTTCATAAATTTTGTATAATCTGCTGAGTACAACAGTAGTGATTAATGTGGAAGTAGTAATTAAGAAATCTATAATCACTATTGTTGCATAAATCGTCTAGACTGTTTTAACTAAGTTGATGCAGCTCTGAAATCAGTATTGTCTCATTTCAAGTAGAGAGATCCATACTTAGTTGGTGAGTTAGTATTATAAACTTAAAGTCTAACACTATATGCTGAATGGCAATTATAGAACTGTTGGTCACATATAATTAAGTTTTATTGTCTCACAAGGAAGCATTGTAATCAATTTTAAATAATTGTTTGAATGAATCCGCTGGTGTTGTTGCTCAGATCGATAGTAGTCAGTCAATCATACACAACGTATATATGTGTATCCATTTAAGTTGTCGTGCCATACTTGCACAGCAAGATAAAATTATTTTAAGATAATTCACATAGTATTAGGAGTAGTAACGATGTCATAATTAGTGGGAAAGACTAAGACTAGCGTGCATTCTATCTGGTTGCATTCCAACTATAAATATATACTCAACAACTTTAAGCCATTAATTCCTATTGGGAGCATGTTTTTGTTTCTGATTTCAAAAGCATCACGACAGGACACGATTACTAATAATTGAGATAGAATGCGATTTTCATTACGCCTGACATTTGATAGACAACGACTGGAAACTATAAAGTTTTAGACAACTATCTTATTTGGAATCGCGACTTCACATCAGTATGCATCTAAAGTATGCGGACATATAGTAAATTGACTCAAGTTAGAACATCTATGATTTCGCATAGTAGTTAGGTGTCATGATTCGTGAGATATCTGAATGTCAAAGATTTGATCTGATAAGATGTGAGGGTTGATTGCTAAATGGTTTTAAACTAAGGAGAGTCAGTTCACTATTGCCTTCTAGTTTTTAAAGGTTCACGATGAAAGTTACATTTCAAAATAAATGTAAGAAATGATTATATCACATGGATATTGAGGAAGAAAACGTGCTATTTTGATAGCACGTATGCCCTGGTACGGCCGAGAGTGGGGAGAATCCGCTCTCCCTCTCCAAATGCTCTCACATGGCCACACCCATATAGCCTCTGCCAGGGAAGACATACTCACTGCCTTCTCGCACCACGGGTGTTGTTTACGAAAATGACAGGACGAAAAGCGAATGTCCGACGCTATAACCGGATCCCAAATCATTGGTCCACATGGGCTGGCTCCAGTATCCTGAAGGAACAAATGGCGTATGAACCAATCGCTGGTCACCGGCTACCAACGAACTGCATCTCCTTACGATGCTACACTACCTTGTGGATCATCTATTTAGGTTAAAGGCTCCGGTTGTAGCCACCTAAGAAAACCACCTGCTTCGGTCTGGGCATCCGGGCAGTATCACAGCCCTCACATATATCAAATGAGATCTGTGTGGCGCATATGTATTTGGTGCCTCTTTGTACCGATATCTATGTGTTAAAATAAATAAATGGTACGTATTATGATTTTATTGGCGATATTAAAACAATGGATATATATACAATATAATACATATTTACAGACTAATCATTATTACTATGACGGACTGATGATTTTAGTTACATTTTTATCTGTTTGAACTATAACACATTCTTCTACCCAATCATCTGTTGTTTGTGACCAACATGAATCTCGACAAGTAAATATTAATACTGTAACAATATTTAATAACCAACTAATATTTACTCCGTCAAAATCTTCATTGAATAAAGTTGATAATTTAAGAGAATTATTAATTGTAGAGAAAATTTGTAGTTCAAATACTCGTTCTGAACCGCATCGATGACAAATTGAATAATTTGTTAAATCATTTGGAGGTAGACCATTGAAAATTGGTTGACCAGACCAACAATAACGAATATCTTCACATCCATACTCTCCTCTATTGGAAATGTAAGATAATAATTCATCGCTAAAAGCTTCAGGGCCAGTATTATCGTCTTCTTCAATAAACTCTTTATCAATTAGGACTTTTTCTGAACATTTTGATAGGAAGTGTTTAATTGATGGTAAATTGGATATAACTTCAATATTGTAATCATCATGGTTGGTTGTGCCTATTTCAGGTTCTACAGTAGGACTACTACTAGTGGTAGTTATAGTAGTATCCTCGTAGATATCAATTGAATAACATTGAAAACGACCAGTAAGAGAAGATGATTGTTCATTTAGATTTTCAGCTTTACATTGAATCTAAAGTGGAGATATTGAAAATAACTAATGTTTGTTTATGGGAGTTATGATACTGTTAATCTACTCTAACTTGTTAGTACAATTCTCTCGAGATAATTAATCAGATATTACATACCGACAAGTTTTATTCACTTTTGAATTAAAATGTAACTGCTTTGAACTACAGTTCATAAATAAACAGGTTTGTTAAACTCACAAATAACAAAATCTGGTTCATTAATCTTAGTGATAAAGGCAAATACTATCGAATAAGAAACTGTTTAATTAGCGAACAACAAATTCATATTTTATTTAAGACAGTTCGCTAGTTCCAACCTAGATATGTTGAAGATAGGAGTGATTAGAAGAAAAGTTGCTAAACCACACTAAGTGGATCACCTCCCGAAAACATTGAGTTAGATACTTCATTAAGCCTAATAAGTATTTTAGTACTTATAAGGTATGGCTAGACCAAAGATAATTGTTTTTACTTATAATTAACATTAGGATGTGAAGTAATAATATTAAACTAGATATATAACAAAAATTACCACTTCAGTGTCCAATATTCGACGGTTTAAGCACCATCATTTTTCTGAAGTGATGACATTCAAGTGGAATATAAAAGATATCAACGTTCAACGTACTTCTGAACCTTTATCTGCATCTTGACCCCAACTTTCTCCATCGGAACTATCATTTTGATATTCAGCGCACCAATCTGTGCATGGTTTCAATTGAGAATCTTGATCGAATTTTATAAAGTATTGTGAACGCAAGACCTTCCAGTTGTTTCCACTGGATTGACAAGGACCATTTATGCACACAAAAATATAAAGTGCTCTGTGATATTTTGAATCGCCAATCGGGCAATATAACTGCATTATGAAGTCCATAGGTTTACGGCAAACCATGCATTGTATTTTGTCTACAGGTGGTGGTTCCACATGTGGAAAGGTGATAAGATTTCCCCCAAAAAAGCTTTGAGAAAAGTTTAAAATATGTTCAGGGGTTTGAGAATTAATATAACCCACCAGTGCCATCTAAATATTCAAGGCAGTTTCGGAAGAAACAAATAGTACAATCTGAAAAAAAGACAAGAATAAAATGTGTGTTGTGATTAGGGCATTCTGATGATGATGACCACGTTGCAACACAAAGAAACAAAAAATCATTTCTAATAGGTGACCTGGGAAACATAAAGACATTATGACCTGAGAAGCTAAAAGTATCCCTAGTTTGAGGGGGATAGTCATGGTATTCCAGTTATAATATCATGTGATAGAAATCCACTTAAAATCGATTTCTTTATGACACTTAATCTTATTTAAAAGTGGAACCTGACGAATTGCCCTTTATATATTAGTCAGCTACAATGTAGGATCAGGCACATATATGCATCAGTCCAAGTCGCCATACCTCATTAGAACTAGAAGATAAGCACCGGATTCATGGAAGTAGTTACTTCAGTGGTTGTAATATATAAAAGAAAGACTTAGCATAAGGATGTAATACAGGAAGAAAGAATTAATTCGTAGAAAGAAAGGTATAAAGCAATTTTAACCTCATGTTTTCCCCCAAAGTCCTACTCACTGCCTTATCGTGGTGGGGTGTTGTTTACGAGATTGAGAGGATGAAAAACGAATGTCCGGCACTTCAACCGTGTTGGTGGACACAGAGAGTTCACCTTGGGGAGTTGGAAAACCCGAATTCCAAAACAATGGTGCACACGGGCTGACTCCAGTATCCTGCAAGAACAAATGGCGTATGGACCAATTTTCGGTCACCGGCTACCATGGAACTTCATCTCCTTACGATACTCCACTGCCATGTGGATTAGACCTTTAGGTCGAAGGCTCCAGGTGTGGCCCACAAAAAAAACCACCTGCTTCGGTTCGAGCACCCGGCAGTATAACAGTATTCGCACAAATCAAATGAGATTTGTGGCGCATATGTATTTGGTGCTTAAATGATAATAATAACTCTCAAGTTTTAAGGGAAGAAACAGCGTATTTTTGCATATGTATTCACGTATTACATTGAAAGCGGTTGGAATAAACACTCTGATATACAGTTTCCTATTCATTATGAGCCTGTTACATTTTGGATTCAGTTTCGATAATCGGTTTATTCGGTTGTACAATATAGGAATAGTGAGACAGACGGTGCAATGGATTAGTTAACAAAAAGGTTACGGGTAAAAAATCCCAGGCAAACAAAAAAGAGGAAGTAGAGAACAGCAGAAACGTCTTCTTACGGCGAAAATGTCTCGAAACTTACCCCAAGAAGCCCAGTTCTCGACTAAATTTGCTGGTTAATTTATCTCAGGTTTGCGTAGATGATTGTACTTAAAACCTACAGGCGACATGTTACCCAAGCTCTCGACTTTGGGGAAAAACCTTAAAGTCAGGGGAATATTTAGGGAAAACACAAGAATCCCCAAAATTGAGAAAAGTTTTGAGGTTTTATTAATAAATATAAGCCCATTTCCCCAAAGTGTAGTAAGATTCTGAGGAAATTTTGGGGTTTTAATGCCATTCCTCCGAAAGTTCCCCGAAACTTACTTTGGCGGCTTCCCCAAAATTGGGAGATTGGGTTTTAGCATTGATTTTTTGTCAGTATGACTGACAGACGTGTGGTAAATGTATAAACTGTGAAAACTAAAAAAAACGCGAATAATATCAAAAACTATTCACAAATGAGTTTGTCATGGGCATGACATTTATTTTGTTAATTTTCATAGTCTGTACGTTTACCACACACGTATTAATTCATGTGTACGGCCATACTTTCAGATCAAGCCCAGTGTAAAAAAGATGATTACCTTGTCGAAGAAAAGGCTACAAATCAATTATTTTCTGTGTGCTAATTACATACATGCAACGGAGCCCTATGGAATTTACACGCTGAAACGTAACGTAAATTTTGATATCCGCGGAATGTTGTACTGCACATCAGTCACGAAACAAATTTGTGTGATAAGCCAAGGCAAACAGTTGATTTCATTATACTCCAATGTCGGTGTCACAGTACGGTAGTGTCCTATAATGTAATTGAACCTATTCAAATGAACAGGTCATACGGAGTTCTACGGTCCACAATTTCCCTATTTCGGGGGAATTTTGTGGAAAACCCCAAAGTGATATAAAATTCTGCGGAAATATTGGGGAGTATCCTTAATTTCCTGAAGGATTTTGAGGGTCACCACAGACCTGTGGAGGATTTGGGTTTTTTGCCATTTCCCCGAAATTTCTCGTAAACAGTCTCTGCAGAGACTTTACCTCAGTTTGAAGAGTAGAATGTGCAAAACAGATGTAAATTTAGGGGTTTGAATAAATGTGGATGTATTCATAAAAAGCACCGGTTTAGGCATACGTTGCTGACTCCTAAAGAAATGGAGAATGAGCCATAAAATATTTTTACACAATGTACACTGCGGAACAACTATAAAAGTTCAAAACATAGGGCAAGAAACCACGTCAACGTTTTCAGTATTATCGTTTGAGGCCGGAAAGTTTAAAACTTTTGGAACACTTTGTAGTGCATTTCTGTGCTAAAACATCTTCATATTGGGTAAGCGGGGACATTACTTCTTCCAAAGAATTGGTCTCAGGAGTTGGTTCCATGGTGAGAAAATCTGCATACTATGGGGGTTCTATACTTTTCTGAAATTTAACCCCCTTTTGTTTGTCCATTGACTTGTCGTACCTTAAGATAGAAAAAATAGAGGCTACATGAGATACAATATATTTTCATTGTCCTGGCTACCATATTTTTATCACCCCTTGATCCATGATTAGGTAATGTTAGAAGGCCCGATCTCAGCATCTTTTCGTAACGTAAGCCACCGATTTTCAGAATTGCTCTGTTAGAGGTAGTTTTTCTCCAAGAAATCCCTGTCTCTCTTTAAACATAAATTCTGATTCATTTACAATTTTCTAATTCGAAACTCAATAAGTGTGAGTAATGCGTAGTAATTATATACGGTTCAACTTGATGAAAGTTCGTGGCAATATCTTTCCAGTTTCAAAACCTTATGAGATCATTGAACAATGCGGAATATTTTCGGATTATCTGTCAAGTTGAACGCATGAACTCATCAGTTGAAGAATCGCTGAGCGTTAAATTGTTTATCGCAACTTATCAAGGTATAGCTAGATCGATAACTAATTGACTGCATGGAGTTTTCCAGACTCTCTGAGCCTCATACGTGTTACCTGTTATTTCTGTTTTCATTTAAATGTAACGGTACGAGGTACGATCCTGATCGTTCCTGTGATTACGTCAGAAGAAAAAAACTGCCTGGTTACCTGTTTAGAGAAGGCCGCATCAAAATGTTACTGAATAATGTAGCTTTACTGTAATAGTATGTCGGTGAAACATTCGTATCCTTGTAGTAGGACTAGAGTCACTGCTAGATCTATTACATAATTTAGAAAGTAATTACACATATGCGGTTATCGCTGTTTGTTGCACTCGATCAACATCTCTAAACGTATTAAACTTATCGTGGTTGTCGATATTCTTTTGGAGAGTCTTGGGCCTCCTCGGAATGGAATTCCAGAGGAGGTTGTTCACATCACAACTATATACATGGGAATTCCTCTAGACGTCTTACCTTTCATTACTATATTAAGCGCTACTTACAATGACGTTTGTAAATGGTATGTAGCTGAACGTGGTGTCGAAGATACAAAAATTGTAAAGGCTTTCAGTGCATCAGAAGCCTGGCATTGAGAGAACACTTGATGGCAAAAAGAGAAGACAGTTCAGATGGCAGAAAACACTGAAAGCTTTAAATGAACGTTTGAAGTCTATGCATGTGTACTACGTAGATAATTTTGACTTCTCACAATAAACATAAATTCATCCTGCTTTTTGCCGTGCTTTACATAGCGTCTGACGATAGGACCGTTTTTCTCGAGTTTCAGTTTGCATGTATGCTTATTTATTGCTTCAGTAGATTTATATTCACTGGAAAGGAAGGTGAATATACAATGGGGGAATTGCTAGATCTGGATGCCTGTTTGAATCTTCTTCTGTGTGTGACGAACTCCTGTCTTCTAGTGTACTTACATTATCATTAGAATGTTTCAGTGCAAGTCTCAGCATTTCTACAGCCTGTTGTAGACGGGGGAACAGTGAAACGACTTCTCGAAATACTGGTTCTGCTAGTCTTTGCAATTTCGAAAACTACTGTTCAACCGTAAAATGGAACAAAGACCTATATTGCTGGTCTAATGGAACAATGACTCCGTAAACGAAGAGGTTGTGGTACACTTACCAGAAATTATATTAATAATATATTTTTTCATGAGCAGGCACATGCCATTTTTACGGGCGTGATCTACAAATTACAACATTTGTTGGAGCATAACATGCTTCCCAACTTATTAAGTTTATAGTTGTTATAAAGTAGACTCGTAGAATGCTTGCTATAGACCATAACCTGGAGTTGACGCATACGTCAAGTTTGTTCCAGACGTCAGAAGTTCCATAGCTGTGCCCTCAGATTCTGAAGAAGAAAATAAAAAAGAGAAACAGCAGAGCAGCAAGGCACTTGGATATGAACGCCAAACGTTGCTTAACATTGTGTAGTAGAACAGACAGAGGTATAATAAATTAGATTAAATTCATATTATCTCTTGTTAGAGTGAAATGAAGTTAGAGGCTCCATTTAAGAGAATGTAGCAATAAAGAACAATGAATTGTGATGTTTATCAAACTGGAGTAAGCTCACTTGAAGGAAGGGAAGTCATGGCTGGTACAAGGAAAGCTGCTCATTAGAAGGGAGTATGCATATAGAGGGTGAAGTGTTAAGAAAATTAACGAATATATCTTTTATTGTCTGATTTTTTTCTTTTTCTCTCTTTTGTCCATCCGATGCCAGCCACACAATCCTAATGTAAAAGTCCGAGTTAGCATGTTATAGGTTGTCTTAGTAGAATAGCCAATCCGGTATAAAATTGGAAACATGAGTCTCAATAGTGAGCGTAGGAAGACATTCTATATCACAGATTGATTGACTTATACTCGATCGTAAAAAGCCTCATGCATACAAAATGTCCTGCCCCACAAACATGGGTGGATTAAAGTCATCGTCCTCACCATCAATGCTTGCTGGTTAGTAACTCCACCCCGTTCAGACAACATCGACGTTTCCAACAAAGTATATTTCATTAAAAGCATAGATATGGCGGTAGTTGATGCTAATTAACTAACTATTCAATGTGTTTACATAATTTGAAGCACCAATAATGCAAGTTCTTTATCCGAGAAATATAACAAATCAACGATTTGATTGTTCGCCTTCTACTGGTTAGCGTACAATAACGGTTGTGAGCGGTAACAGTAAATCTGAAGTACGAATTATGATACTATCCACCGTAGTCATTCTGACATCATCCTGAAGGTAAGGGACCTGAATTTTTATTATCTATTGACATTATTGAAGATGTAGGCAAATGATTTCTTATGACAAATTAGTGACAAAGTTGCCATAAGAATCAACCTTATATCCAGCGTTTTAATCTGTTCGAACGAAACAACTTAATTTTACCTGGTTATAATTTATTCTTCAGAAATAAGGGTAGTGCGTTTATTGACCTGTATTAATCCTCATATCTAGTTTTCCAGTAAGGACTCAGCTTCTCTTTGAAAGTGCTCCGAGATGAGGTTGATCCAACCAGTAAAGTGGGGTGCTTTATTCGTTTATCACTCGATGCAAAACGGAATCCCACTAAAAGTTTATTTGATCGCAATTTTTGAGCCTTTTCACAATAGCTTTGTAGACAATTAGTTCTAGAGGGATAAAAACGATCAGACTTGTTGTCACTAAAATAATTATTAGGCGGTCGGATTCTTCATATGAGATGATCCTGTAGAATTATGGTCTAGGTAGTCATTAGTATTGCTATGATAATAGAATCAATCCTAAAATTGTAGACTTGTTATGATGTGAAAATCCAATCCATAATGTCTTACGTGGAAATCACATCATGGTCTATTCGAACTCGTCATCTCGTAACAATTAGTAATATAATGTTCGGCGCTTTTAAAGAACACATACAGTCTGGAGATAGAACAATATATTCAATATGAATAAAAAGATAAGTTACACAAGAATAACCACACCTGCAATGCTGAGCCATGCGATCCGACTGAATGGATCATTCCCGTGTTTTCCGTTGTTGGCCATCTATACGTGTTCAATGTTGAATATCTATCTTCCCGGTTGTCTCACGTTCAGCTTTGAGAATTGTGTGGTTATGGTCAATACGACTACAGTCCCATTTTTCGCGCTGAGATAAGAGGATAACATCTAGTGGTTTTAATCGCTCGTCGTACAAGAGTTCGTAAACACCTGTTACTAACATTGTTTCTACACGTTGAATACAAAAATAGTGTGTAAACTTTCTCAGTAAGATATGGACCAGATGTTTAGATGCAATATTTTAGGCGAAGTCTCATATAAGTGGAGTAGGGAACCCACAGTTGAGTCCAGAACGCAAGTCTCAGCCTCTGTGATATGAATCATTATATTTCAAACATACTCTGGTTATATACCAATCAAACATACTACATCGCGCCATAAAATAGAAAATAACATTTGTACAAGATTTAACATCCAGGAAACGACACAAATAAATATTGACCAACGGGAAAATGACACGTTGGACGAATATTGGCCAATGGGGAAATGACACGTTGGATGAATATTAACCAATGGGGAAATGACACCATTTATCATTCAGGGATAGCATTAGATAATTTCTGGAGTAGTTTCTGAATGCTTCAACAGAAGGGCAGTATAGGATTTAGTTAATCTGTTGCAATAAGCTGCTCAACTTCTTCTGTAATCGCTAGCCAATCTAGATCAGTTGATTCTCGATAAATTGATTGCTTATTAAACATATCTTCGAACCTCTTCGCTTTTG